GACAACTGGATTATAGTTAACTCACTACAGTTGGCTATCTTTTGATACTTTTTCTGTGGTGAGTAGGAATGTTATAATTCTACTTTTATTCATATTCCTGATCCCCAAATATAGGGAAGGTGTTTTGTCTGTTGTAAAACTTTCATTGATAGGAGTCAAATAATTGAACTTAAACTTTTAGTGATTTTAAAAAGGAAAAAAAATCTCTTTTTTATTTTTTTTTGAGACAGAGTCTCACTTCTGTTGCCCAGTCTAGAGTGCCATAGCATCTCACAGCAACCGCAAACTCCTGGGCTCAAGCGATCCTTCTACCTCAGCCTCCCGAGTAGCTGGGACTACAGGCATGCACCACCATGCCCGGCTAATTTTTTCTATATATGTTAGTTGGCCAATTCATTTCTTTCTATTTATAGTAGAGACGGGGTCTCACTCTTGCTCAGGCTGGTTTTGAACTCCTGACCTCAAGCAATCTGCCCGCCTCAGCCTCCCAGAGTGCTAGGATTACAGGCGTGAGCCACTGCGCCTGGCCTCAGAGCTCCCTTTGATTTTAATGGGTGATGAAGGAATTAGTAAGAAAGATCCCAAAATTTTAGAGTATGTTATCATAGTATTCAAGTAAAATAACCTTGCAATGCTTAGAATTTATTCACAAAAAGTTATTGAATACACACCAAATTAAACATATCCATACAAATATCCAGTACAGATGAACGCTCTTATCAGGATGAGATACAACTCGAAACACTCCAAAATTAGTGTTCTTAAATTCTGCATAGTTATCCACTGATTTGTGATCTTCACTTCTAACAAACTTCTTCCTCCATCATATCCTCAGTTTATGCATAAGTGCTGGCTATCACTAGAGCTTAAACAAATAATCTAATCTTACTTAGAAAGTGCCTCCCAAAATATGAGCTTTCTATAGGACTAAGATAACAAGGTAATTAAAAGTGCAAGCATTTATGTCTTGGAAAGTTTGCTTTTGGTTTTCACTATTGTTTCTAAGCAGAACACATGGTAAAATAATTTTTCCATTTTTCAGACTAATGTAGGCAAGTTTTAAATTTGAACAGGGAAGAGGATGCTGTATACTACAGAGATGTAAAATTAGACCCCTTCCCAGCTCATAACCAAGAAAATTCAGCAATGCTCAATAATCATGGGCTCAGAAAATATTAATATCAAAATAAAAAAATAAATTAATATTTTTAAAACTATACCAAACTGTCATTTTGGCAATATTGCTTTACTCTCATTATTTTTAAAATGAAAAAAAAGTTTAAATATGTATTTCAGTTGAGTGATTGATCCAATTTGTGTTCAAGAAGAGACACGGAGGCCGGGCAGGTGGCTCAGGCCTGTAATCCTAGCACTTTGGGAGGTCAAAGCAGGCGGATTGCTCCAGGTCAGGAATTTGAAACCAGCCTGAGCAAGAGCGAGACCCCGTCTCTACTATAAATAGAAGGATATTAATTGGGCAACTAATATATATAGAAAAAATTAGCCGGGCATGGTGGTGCATGCCTGTAGTCCCAGCTACTCGGGAGGCTGAGGCAGGAGGATTGCTTGAGCCCAGGAGTTTGAGGTTGCTGTGAGCTAGGCTGACGCCACAGCACTCACCCTAGCCCGGGCAACAAAAGGAGATTCTGTCTCAAAAAAAAAAGAAGACGAAGAAGAAGAGACACGACATCTGAATTCTATAAGCTTTATTGAAAGAGTTGTCAGCTGGGCAATGCCTGTAATCCTAGCATTTTGAGAGGCCAAGGTGGGAAGATCATTTGAGTCCAGGAGTTTGAGACCAGTTTGGGCACTAGTGAGACCCCATCTCTACAAAAAATTAAAAAAATTAGCCAGGCGTGATGGTATGGACCTGTAGTCCCAGCTACTTGAGAGACTGAGGCAGGATCACTTGAGGTTGCAGTGAGCTATGATAACACTACTACACTCTAGCCTGGGTGACAGAGCGATATCCCATCTCAAAAAAAAAAAAAAAAAAAAAATCCTTAACACGGCCTTCAAGTTTTTTCACGATCAAGCTCTTGCTTATCTCTCCAATCTATGTTACCATTCCTTGACTTGCTTTTAACCACAATGGAGATATTATAGTTTCTCAAATACACCACATTCCTTTTGCCTCTGAGTTTTAGCATATATTGTTCCACCTGGAATGCTCAGGCTATCTTCACTCCAGTTACATCATGTTCAAACTCTGCTCAAATGCCATTTCCTTAGAGGTGCATTCTTTGTTTTCCAACTCTGAATCAGGTAGCTTTTTTACAAGGCTACAGAGATTCAGGAGGTCATGCATCTCTCTTTTCCAAATGCCACTTTCTCTCTAACACCTATGGCCACATCTGTTTCAGAAAGTCCCTTCTCCATACATTCCTGATTCTGGAACACCTCCTGTGAAATTTGAGGCTTATTCTACTTATCTCAACCCTGACAGCATCCTCGTAAGAGGCGGGTCCTCTCATAAAAATATTCCAGTTCATTTCCTGTCCTATCCTCCCATCCTCTCCAGTCTCACTACCTTGTTATGCAAGGCTGTCTTTTAGTACATTGCCTACCCATCATGTGATCCCTCACCATATTTTATAGTTTTTGAAGTCACTCATCAAAGTCCTCCACATTAACTTATTTACTATTCATTATCCACAGAATACCAGCAGTCCTAGAAGAATACCTCCAGTGCCTTATCTCCTATAGACAACACTGAATTCACAGATGAGAGCTCACTGCCCTTTCACAGGAACTATGGTTTCTAACCACATGAAGTCCCTGTAAATGCTTTTCTATGAAAAGCCAAACCAAAAATCACAGAAAATTTCAGAGTGCAAGAAAACAAAACAAAACACAAAACCTACATTTCTTTCTAAGTTTCATTATAGTTTGAGTACAGGGTAATCAAAATATCTGATTGGATTGAACATGCTATTAAAAATCCAAGCCTTATATACCTTGATCACAGAGACATAAGATGAATATTTGTTTATCTCTAAAATTTGTAACCCCCAGAAAATAGCTGCATTTAAATACATAGCAAATTAAAACAGCATTAATATTGCCCTATTGGTAGTTATAATCCCATTATATTTCTTTGATTCTTTTTTGTTTTTAGTGAAAAGGCATTGGCATAAGAAAAGTGGTAGGTAAAGATAAATGGCTGATCCATGTCTTAATCCCTAGAATCTGTGAATGTTGCCTTATGTGGCAAAAAAAGGGTCAGCTTTATATCTAATAACAATTGTGTCCATCAATGTTAGTTAGAATATTTAAAAAACTATAAAGGAAAAAGCATGTGATAATTTCACATGCTTTCATTTCATTTCATGCTTTTTCATTTCAGAAAAAGCATTTGACATAATCCAGCATTATTCTTGATGAAAAAAACTTAAACAAACTAGGCACAGAAGAAACTTCCACAATAACAATAAAGAGCACCTACAAAAAGCCTACTAACATTATACTTAGTGATAAAGATTGAATGCTTTCTCAAGATCAGGAACAAGACTTCTGTTTGCATTGTACTGGAAGTTCTGTCCAGTGCAGTCAGGCAAGGAAAAGGAATAAAACACATCCAGATTTGACATGAAGAAGCAAAAGTGAATTTTTCACAGACAATGTGATCATCTATGTAGAAAATCTGATGGAATCTACAAAAAAGCTACTAGGACTATTTAATTTAGATTAGCAAAGTATCAGGACATAAGATAAATGTACAGAAGTCAGTTGTATTTCTATACACTAGCAGAGGACAGTCAGAAATTAAATTTTAAAAAATTTCTGATAGTATCAAAAATATGAACCACCTCAAGGTTAATTTGACAAAAATATATAAAATACTCGTACAACTGAAAAGTACAAAACACAGTTGAGAGAAAATAGAGTTAAATAAATGGAGAGGTATACCTTTTTCATGGGTCTAAAGACTCAATATTGTTAAGATTTTCCACAAGTTCATTTATAGACTTAGTGCAATCCCATCAGAATCCCAGCAGGTTTGGGATTTTTTGATGTTTTGTTTTGTTTAGAAATGGACAAGCTGATACTAAACTCCTATGGATATTTAAAAGAACTCTGATTAAGAAGGACAAAATGGGAGGGAAACCCTGATTTTGACTTTTTATAAACTTACAATAATCAAAACAGGAAGCATTGGTATAAAAATAGAAAAAGATCAATGGAATAGACTAGAGAGTGCAGACATAGACCCACACATATATGGGCAAGTGATTTTTGACAAAGGTACAAAAACAATAAAGTGCAACACGGATAGTCTTTTCAACAAATGGTACCGAAATATACCCTGCACCACATACAAAATAAACTCAAAATGGATAATAGACCTAAATACAAAGGCTAAAAGTGTAACATTTCTAGAAGAAAATTTCTGTGACCTTGGGTTAGGCAACAATTTCTTAGACATGTCACAAAAAGCATGAGTCATAAGAGAAAATTTTTGATAAATTTGACTTTGTGAGAGTTAAAAACTGCTCTTCCAAAGACACTGGTAATAGATGGAAAGACAAGTCACAGTCTGAAAGAACATATGTTTGCAAATTGTGTATCCGATTAAGAACTTCTATTCTGATGTAATGAACTCTCAAAACTCAATAATAAGAAAACAACCCAATAAAAAGTGGCAATGATTTGAACAGATACCGTATTTTCCTGAAAATAAGACAGGGTCTTATATTTATTTTTCCTCAAGAAGACACTCTAGGGCTTATTTTCAGGGGATGTGTTATTTTCCCCTCAAAGCCTCAGCTTGCAGCATGCACAGGATGGCCGGGACCTGACAGGGAGAGCCGACCTTGTTGGTAGGGAAGGTCACCTCTCTGATAGTAGCTGTCACAATGCGGCCGAAGAGAAGGGCTGCTCAAAGACAAGGGCTGCTCGTCTTCTTTACCGCTCTACGATGAAATGCATGGGTTGTGCAGATCCCCTGGGTAGCCACACCCACCACTAGGTTTTATTTTCCAGGTAGGGCTTATATTGCGCAAATGCTTACAAATCCTGCCAGGGCTTATTTTACGGGTAGGTCTTATTTTTGGGGAAACACGGTACTTCATCAAGAAATATATGGGAGGCAAATAAACATGTGCAAAGATACTTATCAGCGCTGCTGCTGCTGCCATCACTGTCAGTATGAGCAGTCTAGGGGACGCTTGCGCAGACGTGAAGCTCAAGTACCACCACTGCTTCAGTTGCTGGTTTGCCAAGAAGTTTCAAGGGGGACAGCTTGGGGATCCATGCACTGACCTATTCAGGCATTACCAGTAGTGTGTTAGAAAGCAATAAAGGAGAAAGAGATTCCCATTGAAGGACTGGACTTCATGGGCCATGGCAAAGAAAAGCCTGAAAACTCTTCTTGACCTTGACAGTCACCTTGAAAATGGATTCCTCAAATCAGGAAATTAAGGACTCTGGATTTTGTCAACTAAGGCTGTGAATATAGCCATCAGATTTGATGAGGAATTTAGGAGAGAGGAGTTTTATTTCCTCCTCTTTGATGTTTTCCTCTCACTTTTAAAAGGTAATCAACTCTTTGCTTTGAGATGATTTCTCACTTGCTCTGGCATCTTGCAGGAACTCAATGTGCTAAAATTGAATAATTTCTTGGGCTTATGGTTGCAATATTTAGTCTGGGATCAGCTTTACATATACTTTGTATGTAGACAGCGATGAACTAGTCAGGATGATCAAGATTGCTTGACCTCTTGATTTTCGTTGCAATGGACATTATGTACACTGTGCTGGGCTCATTGTTGATGAAAGCAATTCGTTAGGACCTCTTTTTTCTCTCAGGGAACTAATGCTGTAAAAAGGGATCTAGGCACAGTTTCAGTCAATGCTTAGGAGCACAGTTTTATTTTTATATATTATAGTAACTAATGGTTAAGATGACTGGTGGCCTGGAGTAGCAAAGAGGAAGACAGCTTTTAATGGATGGTTCCTGCCTTAAGGAGGCGCCACATTAAAATGTGAAAACTTCAAGAATGTACAAGAATGTTACACCATTTGAGAGCTCACAGTGTAGTTCAGGAATTAAGGTACTTGGAGTAGCTGTGGAGGAAGAACCTAAATAGCAAAGATTTGCTGTTGCCAGCTTTCAACCCAAGTCAGTGAATTAAGTCAACCTGCATATCATAAAAATGCCAAAATGCTGCATCTGGTTAAATGGGGGAGAAAAGGTGTTTGCTTTATTTGCCTCGTTTACCCACTCTGCCCAGTAATGTCTGTAATCACGAAGATGGAATAAATTGGAACATTTAGTTTCTATCAAAAAAGAAAAAAAGAGAGAAATTGCTCATCATCATTAAGTGCAAATTAAAGCCAGTCTTTACACTCCACTCAGTGGTGCTGCTTTGCGGGCCTAGCTCTCAGCACAGGCCTCTCATGGCCTCCGAGGAGGACATCGCCTCCTCCACAATAACCAAGGGCTCTGTTTACTTGGGGTTAGGCTGTAGCTTTTTGTGCTCAGCTCTATACACAGAAGCAACGTGTGACTGTATTCTACTGTTACTCTGTTGCACGCTTGGAAAAACGTTTTCTCTCTTTGGATATCCTCCCTCCCCCAAGAGTTGGGCCCATTATTTTCAACTCTAGAAATACAAAAGATTTTTTCCATGCCATTTCTCGGATAATAAAGCACGGTAGACTCAGACTTTTGGCATTCAGAGGGTCTGTTTAATATTCTCTTCCTGGGCTTGGCAGCTTCTCTTCTTTACCCTTTGCAAACAAAGCCTGATATCTCTGGACCGAAAGGTGTATAGGTTTCAAAATGACGACCTACAACTTAAGTCCTGAGGCATATGTGTTTTGTTCTGTCCATATAATGTTTAAAATATTTTAAAATTAATTGTCAAAATTTAAAAGGGAAATTTTCCTATAAAAATCTCTTTAAAAACAAGATCTGGCATCATTGCCACAGAGTTCCCACACAGGGCCATGTAGTAAGAGCTGAGTAGCAGCTTCTTCCTTTAGGGGAGGCCAGGGGTGTGTGCTCTTTGGTTTGTCTGAATCACCATTCAGTGGGCTTCACTCATTTCACAAACCTGCCTGACCCTTCCATAGGTGTTTGAGTTTAGACCTCTGCAACAGAATTTTGTCTCCTCTATGGTTCTGCTTATCTGCTACATTGGGCCGAGGAATATCCCCCCAAAAAGATAGTCCTAACCCCTGGAACCTGTGAATGTTACCTTATATGGCAGAAGAGGTTTGCACAAGTGATTACATCGGATCTTGGGTTGGGGAGATTATTTTGGATTATCTGAGTGGGCCCTGAAAGCAAACACAACTCTCTCTATGAGAGGGTGAGGCAGAGAGAAATTTGATGACAGAAATTGAAGAGGCAATATGACAATGGGGTCGGGGAGAAAAATCGATGCAGGGCCGCGTGTCCCCGAGGATCGAGGACGCCTCCAAAGCTGAGCAAGGCAAGGCACGGGATTCCTTTCAGAGCCTCCTGGAGGCACACGTCCCTGGTGACATCCTGATTTTAACTCAGTGAAACTGATTTTGGACTTCTGACCTCCAGCAGACAATAATGTGGACTGTTTTAAGCCACAAAATTTGTGGTAATTTGTTGCAGCAGCCACAGAAAACTCACACAACCTCCCTGGAGGGGAAAATGGGTTGGGAGAGGAGAGTATCTTAATTGAATTTGCCCTCCTAGGGGCAATAATGAAACACTAGTATCTCTCTTGCTAAAAAGCCATAAAAATAGACCACAAGTAAATCTCTGGCAGGTTACCTGAATGCTGTGACCATCCTGTAACACTGTCATACATTTTCCCATGTTAAAGCAGTTCCCAGCTCAGGGGCCTTGCTTTTAACATGTTTCCCCAGGATCATGTTGGGTTTACCCACCCAAAGGGATCAGTTCTCTACCCACCACTGTGTGAACAAATAGAAGAATACCTAAATGTTACTTTATATATTTACTATAATACTATCTACTTCCCTTCTTCACCACTGGAACCTATAAAGGGGAAAACTAACCAAATAATTTTAGTTGCTAGGATAGAACCCCAAGTTTCTATATGGTGAAATGGATAGATGATGTATAGGTAACTAGATTATCATTTGAATTTATGTACTCAAATCCTCCAATGAATCTAAAAAAAAATTAGTCTAGAAAAGTCAATTTTAGTCATAAAATTCAATTTTTTCTTTCTTCAGCTTGGAAGAGAGAAATAAACATTTGGAAGATTTAATTAGAAGGCCTAAAGAAAGAGTCAGAAAACCAAGGTAAGTTTTCCTTTTTAAAATTAATAATTTCTTTAACTTTAAAAATATATATACTAAATAATACATTTTTTAAAACTATTTTTCTTATATCTATTTAAGATAAATGATATGAAAATGTTTTGTATTTTGCCTAGCATAAAATAGTTGTTTGAGTAATGTTTTGTAGAACCTGAAATGGAAATCCAGGTTCCCTGCCCTTATGGAACATATAGTCACCTTTAAGGAAGACACTATAAAGATATGAGCTAAGATTTTTTTCTACCACAAAATTACTTACCCTGTTATGTATTTTTTTTTTTTTTTTAAGGGACAGGATCTCTTGTTCTATGGCCCAGGCTGGAGTGTAGTGGTGTGATCATAGTTCACTGTAATCTCGAACTCCGGAGCTCAAGCAATCTTCTTGCTTTAAGCCTCCCAAATAACTAAGACTACAGGCCGGGCGCGGTGGCTCACGCCTGTAATCCTAGCTCTCTGGGAGGCCGAGGCGGGCGGATTGCTCGAGGTCAGGAGTTCGAAACCATCCTGAGCAAGAGCGAGACCCCGTCTCCACTATAAATAGAAAGAAATTAATTGGCCAACTAATATATATACAAAAAATTAGCCGGGCATGGTGGCGAATGCCTGTAGTCCCAGCTACTTGGGAGGCTGAGGCAGGAGGATTGCTTGAGCCAGGAGTTTGAGGTTGCTGTGAGCTAGGCTGACGCCACGGCACTCACTCTAGCCTGGGCAACAAAGCAAGACTCTGTCTCAAAAAAAAAAAAAAAGACTACAGGCATGTGCTACCATGCCTGACTAAATTTTTTATTTTCTGTAGAGACAGAAATTGAGGCAATTGACACCATTGCCTCCAAAGGCAATGGTGTCCACCAGCTACAGGCCTGAGCTGACAGAGGGGGAGGAGAAGTCCTAATGTTGGGACTTTGAATGGGCTTTTGAATGAAGATGAAAGGATTGACTAATAATATTAAGATTGGACATTCTACTTACTGAATTGAGACTGTTGGTGCCTCACAGTGAGGACTGACTATTAGCTTAGGGTATCCAAAAAAGTCATTGGGCCTGCTGTGTATTCATCCAATGGCCAAGGAAAAGCTTCCCTGAGTGAAAAAAGCTTAAGGTGGAAGTAGGAGACCACAATTAAGGTTGCATTTTGATTATGTCATGAATCATGTTTGTTCAACATACTATTTGCAAATACAACTATTTTGAAAATCAGAACCCCTTGGCAGGCCGGGCGCGGTGGCTCACGCCTGTAATCCTAGCACTCTGGGAAGCCAAGGCAGGCGGATTGCTCAAGGTCAGGAGTTCAAAACCAGCCTGAACAAGAGCGAGACCCTGTCTCTACTATAAATAGAAAGAAATTAATTGGCCAACTAATATATATAGAAAAAATTAGCCAGGCATGGTGGCGCATGCCTGTAGTCCCGGCTACTCGGGAGGCTAAGACAGAAGGATTGCTTGAGCCCAGGAGTCTGAGGTTGCTGTGAGCTAGGTTGACGCCATGGCACTCATTCTAGCCTGGGCAACAAAGCGAGACTATGTCTAAAAAAAAAAAACAAAAAAAAACCCTTGGCAGATTTAAACTAGTGTTTGCAAAGCAACAGGGTTAATTATGACTTTTTTCCTAATATGAAAGAATGTGATCTGATATCACAAGTACTCAGTAAATGCTAACTTAAACTGAATATGGATCTTCTAAGTTATTGAGAGAAACTATGGAATATTTTTCTAGAATTATTTTAAAATAAGAAAATTTGAATATAAATATACATTTGTTTCACCAGTTCAGCCATTTGTTTACTTGGCCTATTTTCATGATGGATACGAGGCTCATTTATGTGGATTTAGACTGGCCTTGAAGCAAGGGGGTGAAGTGGGGCAGAAGAGCTCTCAAGGCCCTTTCCAGCTAATAAGATCAGTTGTTAGAAGACTCCAGACCTACATGAGCCTGCAGCCTCCACGTGGCCTCTCTGAAGGCTCCCATTTCCTGATTGGTCTCGGTACATTCAGCATGAGCATATGCTCTAGACTACCTCTACGTCATCTCAAAATTATGGTGCTGCTTTTGTAAATTGTCTTTAGTAGTGGAAATAGTGGAAAATAGGGATATAAAAGTGAGCACTTTAATAGTCTCAGGTGTCTTATTTTTCTTTTTTAATATTTAAAAATAACTCCTCATCAGTCAATTTGAGTGATGCCTTATTTTTGCCTCTAGTTCTTCATCACTTTCAAGGAAATTCCTTAGGTTTTCAAGCGATAGCCAGATCTTATCCTAAGTAAATCTAAGAGAATGTTAAATGTAATGAGACTGTCAATATTTTTATTTAAGTGCAATGAGAGTGATCCATATATCATATACCAAAACGCCTTATCTTAATCTTTGAGAGTCTCGTACTTCTATCTTAAATAACAATTGCTCCTTGAACATGAGGAAAAAATATGCTTAATAATGGCCTCCCCCCCCCTTTTTTGACATTATTTTCTATTTCTATTTCCTACAGACCAAGAAGCTTAGAGAATCATCCAAAATCCATGACCGTGGTAGGTCACCTTGATGATCATTGTAAAGAGTGTCATATTTCCATGTAATTTGACAATAACACAAGATTAAATATGAGTTCCTGAAGTCACATTTCTGTAATGTTCAGCTAGCCTTCCCCTCCATGCTCAGATGAGGGCCTCTCTCTGCTCCTGTCCTTGGAAGCCCTGAAAAGATACTCTGAACTTGTGCTGGTCCCCTTAACTCCATTCCCGCTGCTACTGCTTCATTTCAAGACCCCGTCATTCTTCATCTGAGCTCGTATAGTCACCTCCCAATTGGTGTTTCTGTCTCCGGTTCTGCCCCTCTTCATTCCACCCTCCACAGAGTAGACAGTGATCTCTCAAAGCAAAATATGATCATGCCTCTCCCCTGCATAAAGCCCTTCGATGGTTTCTAGTTGCATTCTGGATAAAACCCCAGCTTCTTAGCATGGCATACAAGGTTCTCTGTGATGTAGCTCTCGTCTTCTTATCAATCTCATCATTCACTGCTTTC